GATACATTGAGCTGATCTTATTAAGGTTAAGAGTAGAGAGGAAGAAGAGGGAGGTCAGAGAGGATCCTAGTCCAGAATCCACAAAGGAGAAACGTGATCATGACTCCTAAATCTCCTTTACTTTATAAGAAAACAAAGTATGTGGTGTGTGCCCTCTGATGTTTCTTCCACCAGATAATATACAACTTAATGACCCAAATAAAAAAAAAAAAAGTCAGAAAAATTCTCCCAAATCCATCCTCTTCAAGTGGTACTAAAGGATCAGTGTGCATTGGCCAGCTTAGCACCTGGGTCTACTGGGGTGGCCTGGACCCTGGTGATGGCCTGGTGTGGAGGCAAGGATGGAGCGTGTGCCATTGTGTCCTGTCTGGAACCCACGGCTGTAGATGAAAATCTGGTGCCAGTTGTTATATGAGGCCTTACTTGGGTCTCAGGACCATGGGGCTGACCTGGAACCTGGGTCCACAGAGGCTGTCCTTGAGCTTGGGCCTATGGAAACCAATCCAGGGCTGGGTCTACTGGAATGGGACTAGACCTTGGGTCTTTTGAGCTGGTCTGTGTCCTGAGTGTGCAGGACCATAGGACTACAGTGACCAGCCTGTGACCACATAGTGCCTGGTTGCCAGCCTTTTGCCTAAAGCTGTGGGTACCAATCTGATGCTGCCTTGGGTCTGAAGCTGTACACGGGGCCAACCTGGCTCTGGACTGGTCTGAAACCTCGTGTGGGCTTAAAGGCGGTTGCTGCTCTTTGTGGCTTGGCATTGACCATGCCTAGGGTCTCCATCTACAGAGGTCGGCCTGGAGGCTGTGTGTGGGGGTACCAGCTGATGACTATGGCTCAGGGGTCTGCCTGGTGCTGGGATTGGTCGAAGCTTCGGGCTTGGGGATCCAGGTAGTGCCAGGGGCTGTCCAGAGCCTAGTGCTTTGGTTCATGGCTACTGGCCTGAAGTCTGGAGCTGTGGTCACCTGGCCAGTGTGGTTTGATTGGACAGGCCTGGCATTGAGGTCTGAAACACAGTCCAGTGCTCATGTTCTCCTTCCCCTTTGTGGAGTGGATCACTCTCCGTACTGGACTGCCTGAGAACAGGGCCGGCGGGAAGATGCAAGGAGATGTAAAACAGCCCTTCCTGCTCTCTTCATTGAATTTCTGTTCTACTCCTGGGTGCTTAATATTTAAGGATTTTCTAAATATTTTTATTAATGTATTTCTGTTTGTTCATAAAGCATACTGCATAACATTTCAGCCTTGTAAAGTGTACCAAGTCTTCTATTTCACCAGTATCTTTCTCTGTCCTTCTCAGGCTTTTGTAAATATTTTCTCTATGTTTTGGTTTTCAGCAGTTTGGCTGTGATGCTAATGGTTTGATGTTTTTTTTTTTTTTTTTTTTTTGTATCTTGATTGCTTAGAGTTGATTGATTCCTGTTTTTCAGTAAGTCAATGGCTCTACATGTATGTAATTTTTAGCATTATCTTTTTTTTTTTTTTTTTTTTTTTTTTTTTTTAAGAGAGAGTGAGAGAGATAGAGGTAGAGAGAGAGAGAATTTTTTAATATTTATTTTTTTAGTATTTGGCGGACACAACATCTTTGTATGTGGTGCTGAGGATCGAACCCGGGCCGCACGCATGCCGGGCGAGCGCGCTACCGCTTGAGCCACATCCCAGCCCCTAGCATTATCTTTTTAGAAATCTTCTTTCATTTTCTTGAGTTTAAAAATACTTCAGTGAGTTTTATTTTTTTTTTTAATTTTTTAAGTTATATATGGAGATTCCTCTTTCTTTTTTTTTAATTTCTATTAGTTATTGACAGACCTCTATTATTTTATTACTTATATGTGGTGCTGAACATCGAACCCAGTGCCTCACACAGGCTGGGCAAGTGCTCTACCACTGAGCCACAACTCCAGCCCTTCCTTCCTCCCTCCCTCCCTCCCTCCCTCCCTCCCTTCCTTCCTTCCCCTTACTGGCATAAGAGGGTTCTGTTATTTTTGCAATGTTCACTTACCTTCAACTTTTTTCTCTCTGTACCTCTGAATAGACAGTATAACAATTTTTACTTACTCTGTCTTCTGCAGTCTTCAATTTGCTCTTAAGCTAATTCAGTTAAGTTTTAAATTTTAGTTACTAAAATGTTCTGTTCCGGAATTTCTATTCACCTCTTATAATTTCCACTTCTCTTGTTTAGATGTTCACTTAATGTTATAACATATTTAACTCTAATTATTTTAGCCTGTCTTACTTTTCATTTTTGCACATATTGACAGTATCTGCTGGAAATCTTTGACAAACATAAGACCTAGGCCATCCCAGGATCATTTTATATTGGCTAAAAGATGGGCCTAGTGATTTTAGAGTATGTATTTAAATTTTTAATAATGTCTCAGGAAAACTTTGGATCATTTTGAAATCTGCCATTTTTCAGGTACTGATTCTGGCTATTTTTTTTTTTTCATAGTTGTTTTAATTATTGTCTGAGCATTCACAATTGTAAGTTTATTTTTTATTTCTTATTACAGTTAATTGATATGAATCCTAAAAAATTTCTTTGCTCAATATTACTTCAGTAGAACTCAGACTATCTGAATCAGTTGAGGCTCAATTTCAGGCTTTGTTAGGATAGACAGAGACAGTTGTTAGTCTGCTATATAACCTTTGCTCTTCTTTTATTTTTCCTTAAAAATGTTTACAGTTAACATTTATTTTGGGCGCTGGGGTTGTGGCTCAGCGGTAGAGCGCTGGCCTCACATGTGCAAGACCTTGGGTCCAATCCTCAGCACTATGTAAAAATAAATAAGTGAAATAAAGGTATTGTGTCCAACTACAACTAAAAAATAAGTTAAAATTTTTTTTTAAAATTTATTAGTTCTTCTTAGTTATATATGGCAGTAGAAATCCTTTTTGATACAATTACACAAGCACAGAATATGGAATATATCTTATTCTAATTAAGACCCCATTCTTATGGGGTTCTATTGTGAACTGAGCTGTTATAACCATTGATGTGGTTATATGTCAATCCTAAGATGTAACTTTCCTGTTTTGTTAGTTTGACACCCAGTTTTTACCAGATGGGTCACTATTCCAGCAATATCCTGTATTTTCCACACTATTTTCACATTTACCTTTCTTTTCTGTTCTCAACCCCGAAGCAGATGCTCTCTGTAGATGTCACATTTTCTCATCCCTTAGATGTGCAACCGCAGGACTCAGCTAATAAGTGGGATCCGTCTCTTTATTTTTTCCTTTTCTCAAGATGCCAGCTCTTAGGTGTCATGAGAATGGTACTTTCCTCTTATGCCCAGCGTGACTGCCGCGATTTCCCAAATGCCCATTAGCCTTATCAGAAAATCTTCCCAGGTATCTGGGAGAGTTGTAGAGCTTGCTTTGTGAATTTGAGCGCTTATCTTTAAGTTGTATATTGTTCAAAGCATGAGAACTGTCAATTCATGTTATTTTGTTGAATTATATTATTGCTATGGTGTTATGGTTTGGAAGTGAGGTGTCCCCCCAAAGCTCATGTGTGAGACGATGCTTAGAGGTGAAAATGGGGGCTGGGGACGTGGCTCAAGCGGTAGCGCGCTCGCCTGGCATGCGTGCGGCATGGGTTCGATCTTCAGCACCACATACAAACAAAGATGTTGTGTCCACTGAAAACTAAAAAGTAAATATTAAAAAAAAAAGAGGTGAAAATGGCTTAGAGGTGAAGTGCCTGTGTTATGAAAGCCTTAACACAATCAGCGTGTTGATGTCTGATAGGGATTAACTGAGTGGTAACTGTAGGCTGGATGTGGCTGGAGGATGTGGGCCCCTGGGGGCATGCCAAAGGAGCAGACATTTGGTGAGCTGAGTTGAGTCTCCCTCTACTTCCTGATCATCATGTGAGCACTTCTTTCTACCACATTCTTCTGCCACCATGTTCTACCTCATATCAAGCTCCAAGGAATGGAGCTGGCTGTTTATGGACTGAGACCTCCGAAACTGTGAGCCCCCAAGTAAAGTTTTCCTCTTTAAAATTGTTCCGGTCAGATCTTTTAGTCACAGCAGCGAAAAAGCTGACTAAAACAGTGGATATGCTACTCTTCTATCACCAGAAAAAAAAGACAGTAGCTACATTTTAAATATTGACTTTATACATTTTATTTCTATAGGCAATACTTACTGTCATGTAGAGTAGGTTTTATTGTAAAACCTAAATTCTTTTCTCTTGACCAACAGAACCCTTTCTCAGGGTACAAGCTTGCCAAGCTTAGATGGATTTAGGAATAACTCTGAAAATCACAATCAGAATGCCGACCCCAAGGCTGATAACCTGTGCTCCACCCCTCATGCCTCACAGCACACAAATCAACCACACCAAAGCAGTGCACTATTGCATTAAAGAGAACATATCTGGCAGTTTGTGGGAAAGATATCCTTTTTTTTTTTTTTTAGAGGAGAAAAAGTTTATTTGGGGCTCATAGTTTCTCCTGTCTCAGTCCATGGCTGGACAACTCCATTGTTCAGGGCCCGAGATGAACAGAACTTCATGGCAGAAGAGCTTGGTAAAGGAAGGCTATTCAGCTTATGGCATCCAGGAAGAAGCCAGGGACAAATATACTCCAAGGTCATATTCCCAGTGACCTACTTCTTCCAGCCACACCTACAATTACAAACCTGTAGTCCATTCAGCTATCAGTGGATTAATTCCACAAATGGATTAATCCACTGATTATGTAAAAACCCTAATCATGATCTAAAATCCTTCCTCTGAACCTTGTTATATTGAGGATCATACTTACAAAGCATGAGGTTTTTATTTGGGGGCAGGGGTACTCTTAGATTGAAACTATAATATCCTTTTAAAGATTTTTTATTTGAATTTTTACATTATGAATATTATAAAAGCAAAAAGTAGTTTTACAGAAAGGAAAATAATAAGAAAGTTTTATAAAAGAAAATAACAATTCAAATGTAAAACTCTTAATATGGTTGGGTATTGCCCCTGATGCTATTGTTTACATGAAAGTCTCAACTTTAATCGTATCACTGAAATGATTTATAGGGAAGTTCTGTACTTCAAGTTCCAGGCTTAAATTAGCACTGCTTTCTCTCTTCTTGTTCTTTGCGCTCTTGATGACCTTGAAGAGAGGTAAAGAAGACACAGTGAGATCCCAGCCATCGAGGAAAAGCCCTGCATTTCTGTGGCCCGTCAGTGTCTGTTCATCTCATGGGCCACACCAGTCCCTTCCCTTCTCTCAAAGGCTGTTGATTTTTGCTCACTTTTCTTCTTTATGATATTATTCAATATTAAGTGAGTCCTTTCCCGTCATCTGGAGCCTCATGACCATCGTGGGTGTATTTGAACAGGACAGGAGTTCCTCAAAAGTGGTGAAGGGGAACTATAAGTAAAGAGGAAGAGCTACTTTAATCAGCGTGCAGCACTGATTGGATCAGAAAAGGGGAAGGAGGCGACCTAAAGAATTGTTTCCTCGGTGCTCTCCTCTGATTAGCAGGTAGAGGTAGAATACATGGGTTCTTGCATTAAGGCATGTCTCTGTGTCACAATCCATCAATATTTTTACTTGGACTGTTTATATGTGAGTTTAGCTCTCATTAGTTTTATCAAGAATCTCCTGGTGGACCCTTGTGTGGGTTGGTATGTGGGAATGTGTTTGTTTGGGTCTGAGACAGAGAGCATGATACCATGTGGAATCAACCAGCTATTTTGCTATGGGCCAGGACCCGCATTTCCCTAAAAGATAGCACCTTTTGCTTTAAGATGAAGTTATTCCAAATCCCTGGGGATCCCTTGGTCATCTGTGTCTGGCATGAGCTATGTTGACCTTCTTCCTCTTTCAACTTGTTTTTATTGCCTATTTTTCTATTTTCCATTTCACCTTTGACCTCCCTGTTTGCATTTGTTCACTCTCATTGGTAGTATCCTTTATCTCCAGCCACTCCTGTCTTTCTTATGACTCTTTCTTCACTGTTTGATAGTCTCATTCATCTCACCTAAGAATCTGCTTCTGGAACCAGACAGCCTTGGCTGGATCTCAGTTCCTCCGTTTATAGGCTATGTCAGAGCATGTTACAGCTTCTGAGTGTCAGAATCTACATCTATGAAATGGGTACAATTACTATAGCTCTATCATGGTTTCAAATCTCAGCACATAATGAGTATTCAGCAGGTATTTTCTATTAATATAAGTGCAATGTTATTATACTATTATTTATTTTTGATATTATTATCCAAAGGAATGATTTTAGCATGTATCTCTAAACTTAAAAATATGTACATCTCTAGCACAAAATTACTGTTTGGTTCTACAGATGTACATCCAGATCTACAGATCTTCATATTGATCAATGGATATTTCTTGGCTATCATATAGACAGCTCAAATCAACATGCTTTCATTTCCCAGCACATGTTTTTCCCCTGCATTCTCCGTGTTAGTGATTTGCAGAACCATTTAACATTATCTTGGAATCATGCTTGAATGTTCCTTGAATCTTTTCTTTCTCACCATCAGCACTTAGTCACAAACTCATAATCTTCCTGCAAAAGACACTTTTTCCCTCCATTAGTTCCAAACTTATTTGACTTTCCCTTTGTCCTGAGCAGTTTATAAATCATTGCCTTGAGCTATGTGAAACCCTGGATGACAAAGCGCTGTTTCTGGGATCCACGTGGTTACCAGGGGAATGCCCAGATTTGCAAGATGACTTCCGTTGACAGGGGAAATTCTGTGCTTGTCATTGAATTCACTAAATCAAAAAGTCAGGATTTTAAATCCCAGCCCAGAGATGGATATAATCTATTAAGCCCCAAACATGTGGTTTTCCCCCATTTCATCCTGTTTATCTCAAGAAGTTCTTCACACTGAAACTCTTTGTTGTTCCTAACTATAAAATAAACACACAGGCTTTCCTTCCTTTGTTAGATCCAGTTTCTACCAGAACTGGTCACCCACTACCCGCCCCCCAATCCCCCTCCACCCCTGCTTTTCTCTTTTAAATGAGTCTTTGTCTTATTTTTATAATTTCTACTTATTTTTCTCAATCTGGCTCACCGCCTGCATTCAGTTAACCATCCATCCACTGGGACAAGGACACCCCCCTTTTTTTAACTTGTACAACCCATGTTTATTGAGGTGCTCTTCACTTAGCAAAAATATACATATCTTAGCTATACAGCAGATCTCCCCTTCTTAAATAGAATTCTGAAATATCCTCCTGTGGTGTTTTGGTAAACTAGCTGCCTGCTTTTTCAAAGCCCTGATATATATATATATATATATATATATATATATATATATATATATATATATAGCTTTTGCAGATTTTGGTGGCATGAGTACATCTGACATTACAAAATGCCAAAGTTTTAATAAACACTTTAAAAATTTTCTGGTTATTTAACAAACATAGTATATGAGCAGATACTAGATGTCACTGCTTCTGATTCTGTAACAATGGTCCACTTCACTTTTTGAATCTAGCCCGCCTTGCTCTGAGGAGACAGTTTTCCTTTTTCCTCTCCTCCTTCTCCCCCTCCCTAACCTGGGGGTGGGGAACAAGATTATCTTGAGTTCTGGGTGCTCCACAGGAAGGAGAGGTTGGCCCGGAGGATCCACCAAGAGAATATCTCCCAAAGTAACAAGTGAATCCTCACATATCATCAGGGTGCCTGGGATCCCCTGTCAGGGTACACCTGGAATATAGCCTTTGAATAGCTCCTTTGAAATCCCCCTGTTCCTTCTGATGGGCAGCATCACAGCCTCTGGGACAGGAGTCCCCTGTGTTTCTCCTTTACCAGCAAAGCAATAAAACTTTTTTTTTTTTTTCCCTTTTTCTCAAAATCATGTCCTCATTATTGAATTGGCATCGGGAATAAGGACCAAGCTTTTGATTACAATCCTGTCTCCAAACCTAGTTTCTTTCTAAGGTCTTTCTAACATGGTTACCAGAATCTTTCTTTTTGCAAAAATGTCAAAGTCCTCAGGCTGTTTTATTTCAGAGCTTCCCATCAGATCTATATATCTCCATGTGAGAGGAGATAGGAAGAATCGGGCATTCTTAAAATCTTACAAATGTGACAGTGGTCCCTTCACCTTCTGAATATAGCCCTATTGCTCTAAGGTTTATTTTTTAAAAGAACATGTTTGGTTTTGTTTTTATCCTCTCTTCTAACCTCTCCCCCTCCCCTAACAAGATTAGGGAGACAGTGTTACCCTTTCTTCCCCTAGTTAATTGGCCTTGAACATACCTGCTACAGGAAGGAGGTGCCTGCTGAGGAGCTGGGAAGTGAATAACTCCCAAATTAACAAGTGAATTCTAACATGCTATTGGGGCGCCCTGGGACCCCCTATCAGAGCACATCTGGAATGTAACCTTGAAGAGTTCCTTTAAAACCCTCTGTCCCTCCTGATGGGAGAGTCACACACAATTAAAACAGCATTTATTGGTATTGGGGATAGACGGTTACACACCTTTCAGTGATTTTCACAATTAATTTCCCATTTTATATTTCTGACAAAAAAACCAAAAAAACATTTACCTAGCATTTTGTTTTTGTTTTTTTAAATTATTTGGCCTCATCTTCCTATGGTGTTCCACATCTACTGAGTTTGAGCTCTGCAGAATTTATAGAGCTAGTTTATACTTTAGAGAATTTGCCTTAGTCATTTTCCCCTGGATTAGAAAAATAATACCTATCTAGATTAATTTCTCATCATGTCCTAGCAGTGAGATAAATAATATACATTCATTTTCTCCCTTAATGTTCAAAACAACCCAAGAAAGTGGAGTGCTCCATTATTTTAGCAGACCAATTACATTATTTCCCCCAAATCAGTCAACTGGTGAGTGTTGAAGGCAGGATTCAAATCAGATGTGTCTTATTTAAAACCCTTGTTCTAGATCATTATTGAAAATGACTTCTTAATTTCATGAGATATTTTATTATTCAGCACAATTATAATATTCTTTTGAAACCCATACAAATGTCATTTCCTTAGTATCTTTTTTCTTTCTTTCATGTTTTGATACTGGGGATAGAACCCAGGGGCACTCTACCACTGAACACGACCCCAGGCCTTTTTATTTTTTATTTGACACAGGGTCTCACCAAGTTGCCAAGGCTGGCCTCAAACTTGTGATCCTCCTGCGTTAGCCTCCCCAGTTGCTATGATTATAGGCATGAGTCACTGCACCTGGTTCCATTTCCTTAATATCTTGTGAAACAAGAAAAACCTTCTACTCAGAAACGAGGGCGAGGGCATTATTTGAATCCTCTTACCCACTGAACTGTTCACGTAGCACACTAGGAAGATGGTTTCTCAAATGCTAAAAAAACCTGATTTCCCTTTTGGCAAACTTATGCTCTGTCTAGTTCCTACCTTAATGAAACTGTGATCTCCACACACCAGTGTTAGCTTCTTGTTGATTGTTCTCAGTTGAAAGCAGAAGAGTCGAAGTTTATTCCCTTCATCACACTGGATATTGTGCCATTTCCCACTCCCCATCACGTCTATCTTTCCTGTATTATCTTGTATTTCATAGATTGTGTTCTTCTTGTTCACTTTTTTCTGTGAAAATGAAACGAACATTCAGTTTCAGAAAATACATCATATGTTTAAGAAAACTTTTGAGACAAAGTCAATACAAAATGTAAGAAGTCGATTATAGGCATAGATCTACATGTAGCTTGGCAAGATCTTCTCAAATAAAGTTGCTTTTCTTTGCCTGTTTTCCTAATTTTTGCTTTTCTTCTTCTAGGCATTTTCTAACAATTCTAGAACAATGAATTTTCTTCCTGGTCTCTAATGCTTCCTCCTCAGGAATAGATTTGATTCCTTTTAGAAAACCTGGAATTAATGTGATCATAGGTCTAGTGAACTTCTATGGCTCCTCTGTTTATGCAGATATAAATGGACATTTGTTACTACTGTTCAACAGGGGATCTATATAACAATGAAGTTCTAGTGACTTCCTAATGTTTTTTGAAACCTTCTCCATTGACTTATTTTTTTCCAATAACATTATTCCAGGTAACCTATGTTCCTCACTTCATACTGCATAGAGTCTCACACATTAAGCTGTTATTCATCAACTTTATAATTGCATAAATAAGGATCTTCTCTTAAAAAGGGTATAATAAATAATCAATATAAAATGAAGAGGCAATATTAAAAGACAGGCATACACAGTTATAAAGCAGTTAAGTTTATAAGATGTTAGTTGAGTTTCACAAAAGTTTGTTAATTTTTTTATCGATTGAATGCAGAATACTGATGCTCTGGATTTGAGCATTGATCTGTCAGTGAAATGTCTGTATTATTTTTTTTAGATGAGGAGATTAGATTAACTTGCCTTTCAAATATCATGCCATACAATAATTCTAAATTGTTCAATAAACTCTTCATGAATTATCGATGAAATAAATAAAATACAACAGATATGACTGAATGATTAGATCATTGCCTATTAAATGTTTTTGCACTCAGGAGAATATAATCAATCCATTTATTCCTCTGAATGCATGTTACAAGCAGAATTCATCCTTTTTTGGGCGATCCATTCGTCAAACAAAAGGAAAGGGGAAAAAGAAGGAAAGAAGGAAATAAGTGAGGAATTATATAGTTGCAATAGAGTTCAAAGGAATAAGACTCCAAGAATATCTTTCTGTGCCATGCATTGTCCTTGCTCACTGTGACTGTGGATAGGTAATGATAACTAGGGAAATGAGACTTCTTAGTGAAACTTTTGCAAAGAATTTTCTGGGAGGAATTTTGGGAAATAGTAGGTTAAAAGGTCACCTAGTCCTATTTCCCCTTCTGTGTCTGTAGTCGGGGTAGAATCCTAGGATCCAACATTTAGCCAGTAAGCAGACATTTAATTTCAAATGTTGGTGGAGAAAAATAAAAAAGCAATTCTAAAAAAAAGAAAAAAAAAACTTACCGTATGTAGCATAAACAACCCATACACTAATGTTCCTGGTGCTTGTTTATGAAGATGATCGATCTTGGGAGTTTCATTTGCTCTCTTGATAACACTGTTGGGGACCTCGATCTTTTGGTCAAGACCAGCTTCAGACACAACTGATACGTCATTTACCTCCAAGATTCCTTTGCACTCAAGGTAATTAGAGATAGTAATGACCTTATTTTTTGTAAATTTCTCTTTCAGGTTGGTGTTGAAAACCTTCACTTGGAAAAACTGATTCTCAGTAGCCACTGTGGTGTGGAACATTGAACTTTTCCCCTCTTCGGCAGACTCATATTCAAATGGGTCTGTTGCTTTCAGCACCATCACGATCATTGGGCCTTTGTGGAGGACACTTCTTCTGGAAGCCAAATGACATTGGGCCTTTTTCTGATGCTAGGTTGAACAGACACAGGGAAATAAATCTACAAGTTCAGGAGGAAATATAAAAATCACCTTTCAGTGAGAAAAATTTCAATCCCAACATTGGGCCCAGCAACTTTCATGAATAATTAGAGCTAGAGATATGTTAGAGAGGAAGGAAAGGTTAATGAATCCATATAGTTTATCTAGAGGAAGTATGAAGCAGCCGACAGCAGGAGTGGAAGTTAAAATGCTCCCACTGAAACAGAATGATCTTTCCAAAGCAAAGCAGGACCCTCAGCATGAACAGTACAGGTGGGAGATGATGAAGACATTTTTATGAAGCACTGAACTTATAGATTGCAATATAATAAGTAACAAATTCAAGTCTATTCTTTATTTACTTAAGTGACACCCCCCAATACAAAAAAAGAAAAAAAAAAAGGAAAAAAGAAATTGAGTAGTGTTGAAAATGGAGAAGGATGATTATCAGGTTAACAATCTCAAAAGTTTTTGGTTACCAGTAGAATACTCAGGGCCATTTTGAGAGTTCAAATTGTAATAGCTCTTCCCAGGAAATAATCTATTACAAGTGCTGAGAAAGGCATTGGCTGGCTTGAAATCTCCTATTTTTAAATAGGCTTAGGCAGAGGTATTCTGTTCAGAGCCATATCCTTAAACCAGGTAGATAGCTTTCCTTAAAACCAGGGATAGACTCCAATCTCTTTTCTCCACAGTGGTCTGGGCTCACTGAATTTCAGCAGAGTGTTTTAACAGAGAGGAAGTTGGCTGATCTGTAAGAGAAAGTGTGTGGGGAAATAATAGGCTCTGAACTTCACAGGTGCAAGTATATAGAGATGTTAATTGTCCCCACTTACCAAAGCACTGCAAATGCTCTGCCCTGGTAGTACACTATGCACAGTATTCACCTGAGGGTGATTGGACTTGGATTTGACTTTTTATTAGTGTAACCAATTACTCTAGCACAAGGAATGCTTTTCTTTTTTTTTTTCCTTAATATTTACTTCTTAGGTTTCGGCGGACACAACATCTTTGTTTGTATGTGGTGCTGAGGATCGAACCAGGGCTGCCCACATGCCAGGCGAGCGCGCTACCACTTGAGCCACATCCCCAGCCCCACAAGGAATGCTTTTCCAAGAGCAACATTGTTAGTAGTATTGACTCAGACATAAGAAAAGCATTACTAACAACAAGATTCAAATTGACAAGAAAATTGTAGTGCATGCATAAAAGAAATGATTCAACACTCTACTGGACATAAAGGACTTCCAGTGGACACAGTACAAGCATGTCCATGAGAAGGGCACTGTGGTTGGGATAGTGGAATATCAATCTATAGAAAATTATTTTTAAGACAAATTACATTTATGTATGTCAACATTATATAGTCATTAAATAACCACTTATATTTTTATTTAAGGACTTAGAAAGGTATTCCTGATATGTTAAATGAAAAAGGAAAGTAACTAAATACTAATCATGGTAGGATACTCTACTGGGAAAATTTACTATAGAGTATGAAGAAAAATATCTGATTTTTTTTTTTTTTTTTGGTTCTGGGAATTGAACCCAGGGCCTTGTACAAGTGAGGCAAGCACTCTACCAACTGAGCTATATCCCCAGCTCCAAGAAAAATATCTGAAAAGACACAAAGAAAAAAGTTGGTAGGATGAGAGCTAATTAAAAATTAGGTTTTTGGGTTTTTTTGCTTGACTGGTTGTAAGTAATCATGTGTTACTTGTGTAGAAAAAAAACAAAAAAGAAAGAATGTTGATGGTGTTGTGATTTTCCTTCTGTTACCCATCTTTCTTATCCAGAATCTTCAGTGCATATTCTGGAAAAAAAAATACTACCTCTCTTTAAAATAAAAGTAGATTTTTTATGTGTTATTAAACTGACACTGATTCTAAAACTTGTAAAAATGGAAAAGTCTGATTTGAAAGTGGTACAACTTAATCAGAGCATTCATTTGTAATAATGGTCATAACTGGAGAGGGAAAAAATTGAGATGCTATCCAAGTGAGCCCCATCATTTGTTTTTCCCCTGGTCTGGATAGAATCTCAGGCAGGAGTTCTCAAGGACAGGGTATCAATATTGGGATTCAGAGGGTGATTAGGTTTGGTCACCTAAGGGTTTTCCAGGTGGAGGAAATACATGGTGCGCAGAAATTCTGAACAAGATGGGAACATGGTGTGTGTTGAAGAAAATTTAACAGATTATTCAACTAAGAGAAGAGATGTGAAAGAGACTGGAAGAGGGGAAAGTGAACATACTCATGCACACACCTAAATCTGCTGGGTTTTACACCTCCCCCACCCTGAGATCAGCACAAGAGAGAAAACTTGCTTCAACAATAATTTCAAATTTGTCAAGTATCCCTGTGGGAGCAAAGGGTCAAGATGCAGTAATTTATATGGAAATATAAATTGGATATATATATGGAATATAATATATGGAATTATATATATATATATATAATATATAATTCCATATATATATGCCTTATTATATAATTATATATATATATATATATATATATATATATATATATATATATGCCTTAGAAAGGTGTTCCTGATATGTTAAATGAATAAGGAAAGTAACTAAATACTAATCATTGTAAGATACTCTTGTGGTAGAGTAATTGCTTACATGTCATTGGTTATATGTATTTATTCCCAAGTTGAGGTTTCCATCAGAATTTTGAGGTCTGACGTCTATATTTAGGTTGGGGAAAGTGGAACAAGAAAAGTGTACCTCTGTTGAGGGAGCTCTGAATAGAGTTGATGCTGGCATCTGAGCAGGCAGAAAATGGTCCATGCTTGCGGTCACACTGGCTAGTGTAGAACAGGAAGGATGAGTCTGATCCTCAGGCTTCTTAATTGTTTTGCTTCCAGAAATCTTATTCTTTTTGGTTTCAGTCTTTTCTAAGCTTGCTTTTTTTCTTTTCTGTAAATAGTTTAATTTTCTTTCCTGTTAATGATTCTCAGCAGCAAATGAAGTAGAACACATTTTCATTATTAGGTAGTAGGTTGATTATAAATAAAAATGTTTTTGTAGGATTTGTAGAGTGCAGTCCATCCCCTGGCCAGTTGTAAGACAGGGGCATAAACATTTTCATCAAAGGGAGAAGAAAGAGTTATAAACACCATTCCTCTAGTTACCTCTGTGGTAGAATGGGACTGACTTGGAATTAGAATTTTTTTTTTTTTGTAAACATGGGCAAAGCATTTTTCTATCTGATTTTCAAGTTAACACCTCTCTAAAGGGAATGAAGATATATTTATGTCATGTGGTCAATTATTATGCAGTTCGGTAACTTTAAAAACTTGATGGGAAACTAATGAATAACTGTCTGATAGACTGAATGGAAAAGCCATCGCAGTTCTTCTGGGGGACTTTGAGCACACTTACCTGAGATTCAGGGGTCTTCATTGTGTCGCTGGTGATCGATGTACATGCGACAGGATCTACCTCTTGCTTCTTTTTCACTGGGGTTTTTGGTTTTACTGGGAAAGAATTAATTCTCATCACAACAAATGCATTAAAAAGGAACCCATGTAAACCCAGGGCTGATGGGGTAGAATGGCTGAAGCAGTTTCCATATTATTGGCTCTCAGTTCCTGCTGTGGGGCTAGGTAGCTTGTGTCTATCTCTACTGCATTAGCTCAACCTGGCTCAAGGAGACCAGCCATCATAACCCAGGCATCCCCTTCTGCTCCTCAAAGCTGTTTTGGCTCATCCCCTGTGCAGTGTGCTAATCCTTCCTGTCCTCTGATGTACACACACTGCAGTCAAACCTTTTCCAATCCTGTCCTCCTCCTATCTCCTTTGAAAAAGTCGCAGTGTTCATGATGCTGACTGGTTGATTCTGTTTTTCATACAATACATTAAAATTATAGAAACAAGTGAAAGGAAAGAGAGTATAGATTTTTGAAGTGAGATATGGTGATTGTGAACTTTGACTTTTTCATTTTTATTTAATTAAGTAACTTTACAAGACAAGAAGTTCACAAGGCTTTGGGGTCTGTCTTCATTAAGAGTGTTGCCTTACCTTTGTTACGGGAGAGAATAATGATGATGGTATAGTATTGATAAACTGGTTCCAATAATTGGTTAATGGTTATATATAAAATCTAAACCATGATTTTTATACTTTTGATATTTTCTAAACTTTCTCAGGTAGTATGCCCGAAGCCTCTTTCATGACTTCTTTTAGCTTTTGTTTTTTATTTGTAACCCAAATATACATTCTCTTCTAAATTCACTCGACAGAGAATGCCCTGAGTTGTCCACTGGCTGGCATCTGAAGTACCAGCGTCGCTATGGCTTCTGAGACACAAACTGGGAAAGGGGTGTACCGACTTAGACCAAAGTGGGGTTTCATTCAAGGTCAGGCAAGGTGAGCATAAGTAGGGCAGTGTCAGGGAGAAAGTGTTGGGTTTCAATTACCTTTCATCTTCTCTCTTTTGAGTTCTCCTGCAAGTTCCTCAAGCATCGGTATGTCTTTGAGCACCGATATCAGCTTGTTCAGCCCGGCATCATTTTGAAACTTGTCTTCCAACAAGTCAGCAATCTTAATTCTGTTGTACTCATCTTGCATTTTCCTAGTCAGTTTTAATTCTTTGGCCAGTAAGGACTTAACCATGCTAAAGTGATAATCACTGATGACCTCCAATCCTTTCAGGAGAACAATTTTCTTGTATTCATTCACCATTTCTCAAGTTATGGGTGAGCCTACGAGAGAAAATCAGCATAACAGTGTTACACATACAAAAAGAAGTTTCAAAAATGGGATATGCCCATGTGAGTGAATGGCCAAAAGTGCGTTCATAACAAGTATAACCACCAGATATATCATTTGGGATATTGGTTGAGACTTGCTGCACTAGGGAAATCTAAAAAAGTTCTTTCCTATCAATGGGGATAGTTGAGTTGTGTCAAGAGTAGTTGTGGTGAAGGGCTATTTTGAAAAGTCGACTGTTGTAATGCTTAGAATATGGGCTGTGTAGTGTTAGACTCAGGCTCAGCTATGGAACCAGGCTAGGTGTCTGTAGGTGTCTGTCAACAGATGAACGGAGAAAACAAATGTGATACAGACACACAGACACACACACACACACACACACACACACACACACTGGAGTCTTAGGCCATAAAGAATGAGATTATGTCATTTGCTTATAAATGAATGGAACTGGAGAACATCATGCTAAGTGAAATAGGCCAGACTCAGACAGTCAGGAGTCCAATGTTTTCTTTCATATGCATAAATTAGAGAGCAAAAAGGGTCAATTTAAAAATATATCTCATGAAAATAGAGGGAAGAACAGTATAATAGAGTAAGGGGATCAAGGGGGAGGGAAGATGGGGGAGACAGGGGAGGTACTATGGGATGAAACTGAGCAAATCATGCTGTGTGCATGTGTGAACATATAATGAGTCCATATATATATATATGTGTGTGTGTGTGTGTGTGTGTGTTGTAGATGGACACAATACCTTTATTTATTTATTTATTTTTATGTGTTGCCAAGGATCGAACCCAGGACCTTGCACATGTGAGGCAAGCGCTCTACCGCTGAGCCACAACCTCAGCCCTAAGTTCTACTTTAATGTATAATTATAATGCACCAAATTTTAAAAAAATAAATGATGTTAGCAACTGATAAGCTAAAACATGTTTCTGGAATTTGTTGTTGTTGTTGTTCAACACCTTCATTTTTTATGTAAGTTTAAAGTTATTTAAAATAAGGAGAACGTGCTCGTTTCGGCAGCACATACATTAAAATTAGACCAATACAGAGAAGATTAGCATGGCCCCTCCTCAAGGCTGACACGCAGATTCGTGAAGTGTTCCATATTTTTGTCTCTGTGAAGCTGACTAACTCAAACAGAAGAAATTACTATAACCAGTGAAAAACAAAAAAAAAAACAAAAAGCAAAATAAAATAAGGAGGACAAAGAGACAAAAATCAGACAAAACCAACCCCCCCCCCAAAAAAAAAACAAAAAGAAAAAGAAATGCATGAAATAATTTTTAACTGTGTTTTTCCCCAAATTCCATATTTGGGAACTTGTCTGAAACACACACAAAAAAATGTAAAACCTAAAGTTGTGAATATGTGAGCTTACTTAAAAACAAAACAAAACAACAACAACAACAAAAAAAAAAACACTTCAAAAACATCTGATGTAAAGTGGCAAAAGTCCATGTGTAATATTGTAAAATTCCACTTTAGTATAATAGCCACATGTCTAGCTGCAAAATATTAGTTCATATGATTTGGGAGTTGTGTCTTTTATATACTACTAGTCCTTTGGCATAAAACCCTATATATAATGTGTGTATTAAATACATTTTCTTAAGTATTCCAATTTTGGAATTTCATAGTGATCCTAAAGGTTTCAGAGAAGTGCTGCCAATCTAACTTGAAGGCAAAATAATTTTGAAACCGTAACTTTATAGGTAGCCAAAATGGAATTTTGAGTGACATTGACTAACAATGTTAACAATCAGAAGATTGGCAACACAAAAACACCTACCAAACATGCTTTTGTAATAAATATCTAAGAAAGTAACTATATGAGGAAAAAAAAAAGTAGTCAAATATGCAGATGCTAGAGAAAAATAGGGGAATAAAGGGGATTTCATGAAAATAGAAGGGAGCTCAGTGGAGCAGAGGAAGGGCATTGGGAGGGAGGGAGAAGGAACAGGAGAAAGGAGGAACTAACTACAAAACACAATTGACCCAATCGTTCTATGTACATATATGAACACACCACAGTGAATTTCACCTTCATGTATTTTCTATAAAGTACCAATTCAAAAATCTATAAGTAAATAGAGGAAAGACCAGTAGAGTGGGGGCCGGGGACAGGGAGGGAGGAGTAGACGGCAAGGAAGTACTGGGGAGTGAAGTGGACCAAATTATATTCCATGTCTGTGTGATTATGTTGAAATGGACCCCGGTATCATGTATAAATATAATGCAGTAATGAAAACTTAAAAAGTAAATGATGCAGTCTAAAAAGTCAGAGTCCAAAACTAACTTGATCAGGTCTTTCAATGTGTAAAAATAAGACTGTGAACAAAGAGAAAGGAAAGAGGAAATAAATCAAAATGGTGGATTAAAATTAGTGTGAAATGAAGGACTTGAATGCTCACTAATGTAAGGAAAATGCAGATATAAATTTTAAAATATTGACAAAAGGAGAAGGAAGCATAGAAAGAGTCTTATAATTTGAAATAATGGTGGCTGACTAGCCAAAATACATCATTTAAATTAATACACATTAAATGTTAAACCTGTGAAGAGATGTTTTCAAAACTTGAATTTAAAAAATCAAATCTATCTATAGATTGTAGACAAAAGTTCATTTAAAAATTCTTAAAATGTTGAAAAAAGTTTCATGATGCAAACAGTATTTTTAAAGCAAGCAGTATATCTCTTTGTGTATTAACTGACTGTAAGAACGGAAGTATCATTAATGCTACAAGATTTAAGCCCAAGAAAAATAAAACAATTCTAATCATGTATTTACCTAATAGTAATAAATAGATGTTATTTGTTGTCCCTATATGTTTCTTTTTATGACTATAAACAGTAATATGTAGCATATTTCTCTCTTTTTTTCACTATACATTTACACATGCAAAGTGAACAATAGAAATTTAAGCTGAGCATGATGATCTGTGTCTTTAGTCCCAGTGACTCAGAAGGCTGATTTAGGAGGATCACAGATTCAAAACCAGCCTGGGCAACTGTAGTAAGACCCCCATCTCAAAATGCAAAATAAGAAAAGGCCAGTGCTGTAGCTCAGAGTCGGTAGAGTGCATTTGGGTTCAATCAACAGTACCAATAAAAATAAAATAAAATAAAAAAGACAACTATAAAAAATTGATAAATCATAATTGAAGCTTGATATTTTAGCTTATCTCTATTACTGAAAAGAGTAAAAAGTCAGAAAAAAAATCAGAAAAAATAATTAATACAGTTAAAAAAATAAAGTTTTAACAAACATTTACATAATTCTGAAACCAACATTAAAAATTTCACATGAATTTCCAAAATTGTTTATATACCAGGATCTAAAAAAAGATAATGCTTTCCAAAAGTTACATATAAATTTTTTATTTAACAACTGTCTTTTGGTACATAAAATATTTAATTGCTTTCAACCACACCTCTTTCATACAAACTCTCACAACTGAAGTTCACCTGACTTTGAAGAAAGCAGGGAGAAGTCCAAATATGACTAAAATACTATATTTAATACCAGGATAGAGTAGAGAGATAAAGTAAAAGTTAAATATGTTTATTAATATTAAGGTAGTATGCATTGGAATAACTGGTTATGAAATGGAGGCATTTTCTACTGTTTGTTCTTATGTTTTGTAAAAGTGGGATAATACCATATAATCCAACTTTATGTTGAGATGTGTTTTTCCCTTAAAATCATTTCATGATAAGTTTTCATGTCACTATTTTGTCTTTTATTCAGGCCTGAAAGGACAATGAAAGCCCTCTCTAATTATCAACTTATGCCAACAAATACTTAGAAAAATTATTTTACAATCTGTTATAATGAAAATGCACTTCGCTTTATTCAGGCCTCAGTGTTGGAGAATAAAGAGGTCTGTTACCTTTCTAAGTGAAGCATGAGAATCAACCCAGTTACTGCAGTTGTCCCTGTTCTCAGCATAACTGATCCCACACCTACTCCCCTCACCCCACCCCACCCCACCCCACCCGGAAGAGCCCAAACTGATTTCCTCTGGTGATCTTGTGATTTGGGGGAGGTGTCCAGATGGTCTCTATAGAAAGCACCGACAGGACTCACCTCCTTGGAAGTGTCTTCAGCAATAGTCTACCTCTTGAGAGCTTCAGCAGGCGGCTGTTGTTTTACTTGAGAAATAAGATTTCTTGAAGTGTTAAGAAAATAAGATGTTTTCAAAGATCACCAGGAGAAAAAGCACTGGAGAGTCACTTAATAACTTGAGCAACACTGGGTGTCTCACACTGCACTCACAGCCCGGGACAGAGGAGATGAAGCACAACAAGGCTCCTCCTATCAATGCTCATAGCTTTCGATTTCCTCAGTCAGAGAAACTGAACTGTGTCCTTCCTGTAACAGCTTAGTAACCACAGAGAGCCAGAGCTCAGCTATGTTTATTTAAAAAAAAAAAAGAAAAAGAAAGAAAGAAGGAAAACAAATATTTATAGTTGAAAGAATAGAGACATTTGAACTTTCTGGTTTAGCAGACTAACACATGGGACAGGAGGCACAAAGTTCACTTAAATGAAGCTCAAATACCAAAGGGGACATGAATGACCCAGTCACTTCTCCCTCTTCTCCTGCTCCCTGAATGACAGTAGCAGCAAGAGATCTTGATAGAGGTGTCTCTTGCTCTTATAGATGTGCCAAAAAAGAACGGAAGGGAAGGGAAGAAGGGATGGGATGTCACTTACCCTGCTAGGCAGTCACCAGACAATTAGTGATTTTTATCATCCTTAAGTTACAATATGTTTATCACGTCCTTAATCACTCCTAGGTGGTCAGTGCTGTTCCAAAATTTGCAAGGCTTCATTGTTAAAATGATCTAAGCCATTTATTCACGGTTGAGAAACAAAAGAACTCCTAATATTAGACAAAATGTCAGAAAGAACCTGCATGATCCCCATCCTCCAAAGTACTTTTCCAGAAGGTCACTCAAAGTCCCCGAAGAAGAGCTCCCACCAGGTTGAAACCATAATCCAGAAAATGCCAAGATTTTTCTAAGAGAGGATCTAGATCTAAGACAACAATTGCACAAGCAGAGCAATTGTAATGTCACAGAAAAAAAAAATGGGAGGGGAAATCTTGGGGGTGTAGTTGAACCAGACTCTTCCGCCTGCTCTTTCTAAGGCCCAGAACAAAATCTGTTAGTGTGTGAGCCTGAACTGCCCAAGGTGATGTAGGCATTCACTGTTATCTTTCATAAAAATCAACTTTGAGACATATTTATTTTCTTCGTATTTTTTTTGTCAGATATTCTATGTGTAGAATTTTTCCTAGCTTTATTTAAAAATACTATTATTGCTTACTTAGCTCTCTTTATTTTAACATTATAAGATGTAAATTTACATCACTTGTATTACTGTTCTCTTTTTTTAGTATAGACACTTAGCAATTTTTCTTATTGGCACTGCTTTTTCCTGTGCTCCCTAAGTTTTGTGGGATGTGTATTTATTTCCCTTAATATTCTTTGGCATGTATTTTTTTTAACTTACAGCTGATTTTAAAGTGTATTATATAATTTCAAGATATATGAGAATTTTCTAAATATTTGTCTTAACTTCTTAATCGGTCTTATAATTATGCAATCAATGCTAAAATCACAAATATGGACTTTAATGAAATTCACTGTAGTTCCCTACACACATTTCACTTTGATGTGCAGCTTATTAATTAACTAATTAATTAATTTTTGATACCAGGTATTGATCCCAGGGGTGCTTAACCACTGGGCCACCCCGCAGACCTTTTTTATATTTTATTTAGGGACAGGATCTGTCTGGGCTGCTTATGGCCTCACTAAATTGCTGAGGCTGGCTTTGAAATCTTGATTCCTCTGCCTCAGTCTAGGCCTCCCAAATTGCTGGGATTGCAGGCGTGCACTACTGCACCCAGTATCCCACCTATTTTTATAGTGTTTTTCAAATGATAAGCAGTTCATCTATTTTGAAGATGGTGTAAAGATTTTTCAGTTTTCTTTCTTCTTATTCCATCTATCAGTATTGAGTTACAGGTTTTAAATACCTTAACTATGATTATTGATTTGTGTTCTACTCCATTTGATGTTGTTTGGTTTTGCTTTGTAATTGGGAAGTCCCATCATTAGGTGCTTTTATGAATTCTTAGGACTTGGCAACAAATTCACTGAGGCATTTCCTTTTGGCATCGGTCTAAATCTAACTATTGTCTGACTCATGTCAGGACTTGATACGAGGCCTTGTTAAGGAGGATTTGAATAAATCCAAAGTTTTCTTAAACTCACTTATTTGCAGGACTCCAGCTCTGACTCATGGTGGAGGCAGGTTTTAGGCTTTGCTTTCATGATAGTCTCTACTTAGCTGCTTGGCCCTACTTCTACCATGTACTCTGGGGCATGCCACTGGACAACAGGGGCCGTGTGTGTGTGTGTGTGTGTGTGTGCATTTGCTCTCTTGTTCCTGTGTTGTCTTCTCAACCCCACAGCAGCTGCTCCCTGGTGGGCCTCATGTTATTTCCCTCACATATGAACAACCCAGTGTGTGGTGAGTGGGCCACCCCGGCCTAGTTCCTTTCTGTCCAGGTATCCGCAAAGTGGAGCTCTGTATATGTTCATGTATGTATTCCAAGTTTAAGAGAAAGAGGGCTAATTTGATCCAGTGACATTTTTCTGTGACTTTCTTTCTTCTTTTTTTTGTTGATACTGGGAATTGAATTCTACTGGGGTAGCACTATACCACTGAGCCACACCCCAACCCTTTATTTATTTATTTATTTATTTGTTTGTTTGTTTATTTATTAGTTGTAGATGGACACAATATCTTTATTCATTTTTATGTGGTGCTGAGGATTGAACCCAGTGCCTTGCATGTGAGGCAAGTGCTCTACCACTGAGCTATAACCCCAACCCTATCCCAAGCCCATTTTAAAATTTTTTTGAGATAGGGTCTCACTAAATTTCGGAGACTGGCTTTGAAAGTGTGCTTCTTCTGCCTCAGCTTCCTGAGTGGTTAGGATTACAGGTTTGGCCAGTGCACCTGGATCTCTTATGAGATTGTTAATAACATTCATCAAAAGGTAAATGTGAAGGAATGACCAAAGGCAGAAAGTCTATCCAGGAAATAAAAGCAAAAACTCTTCCAAACCCGGGGAAAGATAAATATCCAGATACAGGAAGTCAAAGATCACCAAACAGATTCAATCCAAACCTTACTACCCCTCAGCATATTATGATCAAATGTTACAAATGGACAAGGAGAGGATTCTAAAGCAAGAAAGTAGAAGCAAATAACATATAAAAGGCAGAGCACACTGGTGCACACCTGTAATCCCAGCAGTTTGGGAGGCTAAGACAGGAGGTCCGTGAGTTCAAAGCCAGCCTCAGCAACTTAGTGAGGCCCTCCCTGTTTCTAAATAAAATACAAAAAAAGGGCTGGGGATGTGGCTCAGTGGTTGAGTGCCCCTGAATTCAATCCCCTGTACCAATACATAAATAAATAAATAGATAAGTAACATATAAAAGTTGTTCAATATACCTGGTGCCAAAACTTCTCAGCTGAGATCTTGCAGTCTGGGAAACAGGGAATGATATATTCAGAATATTAATGGGGAAAATGCCACAAATACAGTCCTCATCAAAAACTGTTTATGTTTTTAAGTTGCATTTGCTTTTAAGTTATTCTCTTGTTTTAAGAACTGTCTCTATCATTAGGCTCTTTGAGAGGACATTTCTTCTGGAAGCATCTCAGCATTGAGAAGTATGTACTGAACGGCCACTGGAAAGAAGTGGTAGAAAGTGTAGGCAGGGTTCTCCTATTCCCCAAACTTATAGCTGGGAAGAAAAAAGATAAATAAATCACCCATTAACCATAGTGTTGTAAGTGGTAGCAAACAAAAGCACATAGTCCTTCAGAAGTACGTCTGCTAGCCTGAGAGGAGATGTAGAGCAAGGTTCCTAGGAGGACATATGAACTCTGGGACACAGAGGATGGAGCGCTGACCAAGTTAGGAGGCACCCAGTTAGAGTACGTACGAGGAAAACCTCCAAGAAAAAGGAAACATGATGTGTTTGAAGAAATTTTAACAGATAAATAAACAAGTGGGAATAAATAGAAAAGAGACGCAGCAACAAAGAATGCAAACACTGTTTATTCTTATATATGCTTCATAATTTCCTCTTCCTCCAGAACAACATGAGGTAGAACATTTTAGTGGTCAGAAATAATGTTAAATTGATAAACATTATGGATGTATGCCTGTATCTTTGTGGACGTAAGAGGTTCATTGTAGTGCATGACCAATATATTCATCTGAACTAATAATTTTTGGAGTTATGCTTAGGTATACCAGACATTATGTTATTTTAACGTTTGAGCCCTATTTGGTGTGTTCAATAAAAATGGATGGGAAAAAAAAATAGAAAACAAGAGAAAGGACAATAATTAAAAGAAAATTCTCTTGTGATCTTGCGGTTACAAATGGTGTACCCGCATCTTCCTCTACAGAAATCTCACTTTACTGAAAGCTCTTTCACAGCAGTCTAGTCTTTGAGACATCTTCTTTTTTTTTTTTTTAAAGAAATAAAAGGAATATCTGATAGAAATCTAAATCAGCCAAACTAAAGTCTGAATTGTAGGACGTTAGAATCTCATGTAAGGCTAATAATGAAGTATTTTGAAAGAGAATCATGAAAAATGGTATTGATTTGGATCACTTAGAAACTTGACTGAGGTTGGCTTCTTCATACTGTGAACCTGGTCTCTAGGAAACAGTGCTGAGGCTCCTCCCGTCAATGTTCTTAGCCTTTTGTCAGAGATACTGAACTTTGACTTTCCTGTAAGTAATTTAGCACAATTGAAACAGTGATAGCAGGATTGTTATCTTTTTCGTTATAGCATGTCCATAAATGAATGAAGGTCTGATATTAGGACTTTATCAATCCAGGAGACTTAAGTGTCCCTTCATTGAAGAGAAAACATCCAAATGGAAAGGCAACTCACCGGCCATTTCTTTCTCTTTCTTGTTTACAGAGTGTCAGTGGCCTGAAGAGAGGCTTCTATTTCTACCTGTACTTAAACATTATAGACAGCATTTCAAGATGTCAGGACTCCAGGATAGGGGAAGTCTGCTATGAAACTGTTTTTGGTTTAAATACTAAATATCATCCATCCTATTGACACACTGAGGCTTGACATACCTAGAAGGTCATTATGAATATGTAAATCCTTACTCAAACCAATCAAGTTTGGCACTACTTGTCCTTATGATGACTCATGTTTTCTGCATTATTTATAAATAATCTCATGTGGATAGTAAGCTCATGTTACCATGGGAGTTTGGAAATTATAAAGAACAGAGAACTTCTAGAGGGTAGGGGGCCTGATAAATTATTTGCATTACAAGGTTTTCTCTGTGAGGTATAGTGACGCTCTCTGTAGTTCTGTAACCCTTAAGTGACAAGTAAAAGGCACCAGGCAGTGGAGAGTGTTGTGGTAACCTACCAGCTAATCTGCAAGCAGAGTGAGGTCATGACAGGAAAAGAGGTTCCAAAGACAGCTAATATAGGCGAATGATCCAAGGCCATCTACGAGGAAGAAGTTGGTTGTCTTCCTCTAAACCAGCAGCACAGAGGAGAGAGTCAAAATTTGGATTTGGAAATTGAATTTATACCTATTCTCTGAATAACTTCACCAAAGCAGGTGTACATCAGAAAAGAAGCAACAAGGGTTTATTCGGAGTGACTGGGACAAACACCTACATGTATTCATGTATTCCATGTTTTTTTTTTTTTTTTAAATACAGTTTCGTTTCCTGTTTGTGTGGTTGAATGGGTTGAGCTGGTTATAGAGGAAAAGGAAAAGAATGACATAAGCAAAGTTCATAGAGGGTCCCAATTCAGTGTCTAGGGACTAATGGTGCCTATGGCAGAAATTACTCTGATTCAGAAAATGGTTTTCCCTGTTATATTTCAGAAGCCATCTTAATGTGGTGAGATGCTTTGGTGATTTCCCAGTAGATGATGTATGAACTTTCTTGCCCAAATAAAGATCATTCACAGCAATGCTTTCATTGAATGTGT